CTGTCAGAGAAAAGGGAGAGGTTTCTTAGAGGGAAGTTCACTGCCGAGCAGGGAGAGGCAGCGGGAGCTCTCCAGAGATGAACCGAGGAGGGTCTTTTAGGAGGCGGCTCTCCTCTCTGAGGGGGGCATGGCGATGGAGTACGGGCTACCTTTTCAGGAAGGTAGGATGCGATGGATGATGGATTTGGCTAAAAGCGGCTCTTGTTGCTTCTTCTCTTTCCACGCTCAATGTTTTTTTCTTCTTTGTCGTAGAAAAAGTTTTTGTCTCCTTCGCAGACTTTTACAAGCCTCCAACGTCTTTTCCCTCCCTCCCCCCTTCCTCCCTTACTGCCTCACTCTTTCTCAGATGGTTAATTTGTATGGCCTGCTTGTAAAGTCAACCTCCCCAGATGTTTTTCATCTGGAAACAGGGCCTGGAGGACCCCCCACTCTAATTCCCACCTCCTCCTCCTCCTCTTTACCCACTACCTTGCTTCTTCCCCCTCCTCCCTGATGGAAGTTCCCAAAGGAGATGGGATGCGGATTGTGTCGTGTTTAGGAGCTTTAACTTTGTCTTTAACTTTGGGAAACTGTTGCTTGTTAAGATTAATTTCTTCTTTCATTCTGTTAAGCTACTCCAATGTGCTCCTGCAGACCCTCCATTCATGAACTCGTCACACATCATGATGTCTTTGATTTTTTCAGAGGCAGAAACATCAGTGTGACCACAGTGAAAGTTATTGTCTTATTGCTGACCCTGGCTTAAATGCAGCGCCTTTACTCTCCCAGATGGTTGCAGTTTAACTTAAATCTCGTGGCTCATAAAATCCTCTGCACAACAATTCAGACTAATTTGAAGCAAAAACTATGAATTAACCGCCGTCTTTGCAGCACAATATAAACGACAGCTCTCTGGCAGTCTCTAATTAAGACTTTTTCGCTTGCATGCTGGTGGCTCCGTGTCCCGTGTTGGCGTCCCTTTACCTCAAGAAACGCTTGGGCTTTTCCTGACGCTGATGCGCGGTAACTCCCTCAGCACCGCTCGGCACAAACACTCAGCCCTCTTCACGCTCTGCGTTTGTCTTTGAACCCTCTCTTTTGGGTTGTTTCTCGCTCATTCATCTCTGTCCTCCTCTGGTGACTCGCTGCGCTTTGGAGCCCCTTGCAACATGTTGAAGCACTTAGTCCGAAGTGCAGACAGAGTGGGGGGTGGATTTGCTTTGTGTCACCTCAGTTGGGCAACTGACTCATGTGAACATTTGGGCTGTAGAATCGAGGGGAGGGAAGCGAAGCATTTATCAAAAACAAACGGGCCGTTCTGGGAAAATACCAGTGTTTGTGCCTATGTATGCGAACGCATTCACGGCCCCCAGGAAATGTCACAATTAATACAGATATTTGTTAGAATCTCCAGATTCACCAAATAATGGTTAAACTCTGTCTTGGGGTGTCGAATAACGCTGTTTTGTCAAAGCTGTTTGTCCTTTTAGTGTTGGTGATGTAACACACCAGGTTGTAGCAACATAGAGACAGTGCATCACATCTGGATGCTCGTAAAGGTTGTCATGTTAAAACAAACTGAGTAAGCATAATTTTTTAAGGACGCTGCAGAGGCGTGTCTTTACTTTCAAAGGGGACTTTTTCCCTTTGTGTATAATATTGCTGCAGCTGGTATATTCAAGCTCGAAGGATGCAAGCCACTTCTGTCAGAACGTTGGTATTTGATGCTGTGGGATGTTGAAATGCCAGATAATAACTGCAACTGTAAGGTTTGACTTTTATTTCCCAAGAATTTAGGAGGTTTTAACGTTGGACCAGAGTTAAGTAACCTCCCCACAGCTGCTTTAATGTCATTTATCACCAGTTGATCTAGTGAAAGCCTTCCACGGTGATAAAAATGCAATTTCCCGGTTAAATGCTCTGGGACGGGGACGTGGAAGCTGCTATTAGGGGAACCAGGATCTCTGAAAGTGAAGCTATCTGTTGTGTTCAGTTTTTCTACCCTCGATCTTATTTAGTCCTACTTTTTATTTTTCTTAAATGTGTATTTTTATGAACCTGTTGTTTTTAATTCTACTGGTGTGTGGTATTTGTGCATCTGCAGAAGGTGTAGTAATGGGAAAATGGAGCAGAAGGTCATGCTTAGCCCTGACTATTGACATATCTGACATGGTGGCTCAGTGGTTAGCTGTCGCCTTATAGATGGCCGCCAACCCTGAGCCTGATTTGGCGCTGTACAAATAAAACTTAACAGAGTAGAA